ACAAAAAAAAAAAAAAAAAAAAAAAAAAAAGACATTTATAGGGAATGTAGTTAATCTCATCCAGCTCAGACAGTATTTCTACATGACAGAATTATTAAACTTCTAAAGACATTTATGTTGGAAGAACGTGGAACTCCTGAAATAGGATGCAGTGGTACTCCCCTCTGCATTACACCGTGAACACGGGGCAGGGGGTGGAGAGGGGCCTGCTAGGCCTTGGCCTCCACAGAGAGGCACTGGAAAGGGCCCAAATAAATTCCTCTCATGGTCATTAGCCTGCCCTTTCTCCTACTAAGTAAGCAACTCCAAAAGGAAATTCTCTTCACCTGCAAATGTATCAAAACCAGTAGAAACAGAATCCAGGCAGGGCACCCTGTGGCAGCCTGAGAAGGCTGTCTGGGCACGTGAGAACACAAACTTCCCTTCACGGCATCTGTTGGGCAAAAATATTTAAATTGAATAGGATCATCATGAAGGAAGTCACCTTGAATAGTAAGGGGGAGGCCCAGGAAGTTTTAAGGATGGGTAGCATTATTAGAAATTTCCCCTAAATAAACTGTGCTAATACTGTACATGGAGCTCTGGTCTGAGCCCTGGATAGGAGCCTACGGCTTCCCCAAAGCTTGCTATGTCATGGCAGCTGTGTGCTCTTTATGTCAGCCCACCCCCAAACCTTTGCCACTCCAACCTGAGCTCCACGGGCTGATAAATCTCAAACAACTTAAAATGGAAAATTAAATGGAAAACCCCTTCCTCCCTTCTCCAGGCCCTGTGTAATCCGGAACATGAATCTTAACCAGCCTGTTTTACAAGCAGCTGCAGGGCCTCCCAAAGCAGGAAGCCAAGATATCTCGCCTTCATCGGTGCCCACTGGGATCACTGTGTTCTTGAATATTTTACTCTGTTGAACAGTTAAGATGCCCAAAGGCTACACCTTATAAAAACAGACATGTTCATCACCGCCCACCCCCAGCAATCACAGAACCACAACTGAGTCACAGATCCCTGCTCCCTGAAGAGGCAATGGAACCTGCGTACCCTGGACTGACCGATTCAGGAGGAAGCTCGTCCCTCCTCTGGCCCTGCCACGCCCACCTCTTCAGAGAGCTGTGGGTAAGTCTGCCTGGAGATGAAATGCTTGTTTTTCCTTCTCCTCCCTACCACACCTCCAATGTGTCCCTTGGCAACAGGTTCTAATTCTGCAGGTCACTGAAGGAGACAGAACAGAGAAACACTGTCACCAGCACAGGGTTTCCCTCTCAGCCACCTATGGTCCTCGCTCCCTGCAGGAGATCAGGTGACTGGGCACAAAGCACAGTCTCATGAAGCAGGGGGTCTTTGCTGAAAGAGGGACTCAGGAACCCCTTCCCGGTTCCTCCCACTTTCGTCTCAATCGTTGCCATTTTTCCTGTTCAGTCGAGTTAAGGGAACACGTTGACTGAGCCAAGGAAGGAAGGACAGCCTCAATGACATGAGATGGGTCCTTTAACGACAAGACACAACTTAAAATACAGACGACATGAAAAGACTGGACAATGTCAACTTGGAATGGGAATCCCACATAGCTTCCTTAGAAACCAACTAAACCATTGCCTCCTGCAATGCAACTTGATAAGTAGCCACAATTCTCTTTCCTTAATTTCTCATGCCCAACACCATGCTAGGAGCCCAGTAGATAGCCAGAATAAGATAAATGAGACCCCCTAACTATGTGGACACAAAAGTAAATAACAAAACAAAAATAAGTAAATTGAGGGGCTTCCCTGGTGGCGCAGTGGTTGAGAATCTGCCTGTCAGTGCAGGGGACACGGGTTCGAGCCCTGGTCTGGGAAGATCCCACATGTCGCGGAGCAACCAGGCCCATGAGCCACAACTACTGAGCCTGCGCATCTGGAGCCTGTGCTCCGCAACAAGAGAGGCCGCAATAGTGAGAGGCCCGCGTACCGCGATGAAGAGTGACCCCCGCTTACCGCAGCTAGAGAAAGCCCTTGCACAGAAACGAAGACCCAACACAGCCAAAAATAAAATAAAATAAAACAAAAAAAATTAAAAGAGAAAAAAATAAGTAAATTGAAAATACTGAGATGCTATGGAGAGCATGTAATAGGGGGACTAACCGGTCTGGGCTCAGCAGGGACTGTATTGAATCAAGTACTAATTAAGAGCCTCAATACTCCTGCAGTTCAGTCGTTCATTGACAATGCAGAAAACCAACCAGCAACTCTTCTCTTCCCTCTTTAGAACACCTTTAAAATAGCAGCAATCTCTCAATGAGAGAAAGAGACAGAGTGAGAATGAATGAATGAATGAATGAATGAATGAGGGTAGTTTTCTGTCATTGAAAAGGTTTCTGTCAAAACAAGAAATTGGCTTGGCCATAATCAGAGGCATGTGACGTCAGTGCCAGAACACAGAATAAGAAGTAAAAGGCTGTCCAAAAAAAAAAATCTGTAGCACTAGCCAATTTCTTGAAGGAAGACAAACTCTGACGAGGAGAGGACATTGCAGAAGAGCTAAGAATGCTGTAAAGAAAGTCATCTGGAACAGCTAAAGCCACCACAGCGCAAAGTCCGCGCACCGCAACAAAAAGTAGCCCCGGCTCTTTACAACAGCGCAAGTCCGCGCGCAGCAACGGAGACCCCAAGCAGCCAAAAATAAATAAATAAATAATTTGTTTAAAAAAAAAAAGTCATCTGGCTGTCACAGAATTAATACCAGAGATCCTTCGGTGGTGGGCAGCTCAGAGAGACGGGGCATGAAAACAGACGTAACACTGGGAAAAATTTGTTAGACAAAACAGCAGGTGGGGAAGCAGAGCGAGATGAGAAAGGGGAATTAGCAGAATAAGCTCACTGGAAGGGCTTGAAGCTGAGTGAAAAGAAGTCAAACCTGGTACAAAACCCACAACCCACCGTTCACATGAAATGTCCAGAATGAGCTAGCCAGTCTGTAGAGACAGAAAGTCGATTACCAGTTGAGTAGGGCTGGGGTATGCGGGGAAACGAGGTGTGACTTCTAAGGGTACAGGGTTTCTTTTTGAAGTGGTAAAAATATTCTGAAATCAGATTGTGGTGATGGTTGCACAGTACTGAATAAACACAGACCATTCAATGGTTTAAATGGGTGAATATTATGGTATGCAAATTATATCTCAATGAGACAATTCAAACAAAAAGGAAACAAAAACCCACAGAAGATCCCGATCCAAGTGAAAACTGGGAAGAGACTGCCTTCCTCGCGCTGACCGGCCCCTCACAGAGCCCACAACCCAGTCCTAGGCATCTCACAGATCTTCTGGGGCAATCGCCAAAATAAAACTGGATGAACCTGCAGAGCTTGGTTTTTCAAATTACACTTGAAAGAAATTGCAGGCGACTGGAGAAAACAAAGCTCACATGTCACTGCATTTGGTTACATACATAAAACATAAAATATCCCTCAAAGATATGTGCATCACTTGGGCAACAGGGAGGGGCTGAGCTGTGCAGGAGAGCACTGGTGTCAGACAGCAGCATGGCCTCAGCACACAAGAGACCTGAATAGCTCACCCGAAAGACACAAGGCTGCAGACTGGGACACACAGGCACCCCGGCACTCCTGCAGAAATGCGAACGCACTCTGTCTGGGATGGTATGTAAAAACAAGGGCTCTTAAATTCCCTGGTTGATTCTATTGTGAACATGGGACTAGAAACTACTGACCTAATCAGAAGCCTTACTTTTGATTTCCTTTGAGAAGGAAAGAAGTGTGCAAAGAATTCAATTAAATGTTGCTCAAGTCACCTAGTCAAGCAGCCTAAGAGTCAGGACTACACTCTGTGTCTCCACACTCTCAGCTCAGCACAAGCACAGCTACTTTGTGGGTATGGGCATGGGTGTGTGTGGGCAGTTAGGTTTCCTCAGAAACTCCTGGCCTCCAAACAGTGGTCAGATGCCATTGTAAGAAACTAAAGAACAAACACCCAGAAATACGTGGGAGATCAGTGACCTTGAGACTGAGCTGGGAAGACTTCTCAATATGCAGGGATTTCGTTGCCCTATGGTGTGTCCTATCCAGACCCGATCCCCATCAAGTAGAATTACTCAGAGAGGAGGGAAGATTTTTGTAACTTCACAGGCCAGACCTGATCTGGAAAATTTTTTACCAAATGAGCCCAGGGTTATAAAATAAACACCAAAGAATGTAAAAGCCAATGCTTCATCCTCTCAGCTGTCCATGGAGCCGGTGCTATCTGCAAAGGACAGGGCAGGCCCCAGAGGACCGACCTTCACAAACCACGCATGCTAAAACCCTCTTAAGAAGTGCCTGGTGAACGCTCTGGCTGAAATGCATGGAGCCAGCACATGACCGAGGAGTGAGCTTCTTACCTATAATTCCACTGTCCTTGCTTTCCAGGGTGGAACTAGGGCTGCTAATGGTCTCACAGGGACTTTTGTTGGCTGCCGTCTTGCTGACGCAGCTATTCAAGGTTGAGCAGGGGCTATCGGTGCTAGGAGACGCGGTACTGCTTGTAAGTGTGGAGCAAGGGCTGATGCCTTGGCTCAGAGCTGTGCACTGTAAGATGAAGGGAAGGAGGAGTTAGCGCAGCTACACATCCCTTTGTTTTTGATGCTAAAACAATGAAACTACAAACCGGAAAATGGAAAACAGTTTTGTTTTGTTCTTCAAATCTAGGGATCTTAATATATACGGTCTTCCAAAACTTAAAAGAGAAATCTCCTAGTTCTGTTCCCCCGACTTTGCCATCTTCTTTTTTCTTAAAAGGGCAGTCTTAGAAATAATTTAGTGGGAATGTGCATTTAGTAAAGCAGAAACAGCAAACAGGCAGACTTCCTTTCATTTAACGTCTGCAGAAGACAAATGGGTTCTTTGACCTCTGTGCGTTAAATCTGGGAATTCTGTTTTTGTAATGTTTCACAAGCACTGCAACCTGGTTCAATTCCTTAAGATTTATGGGCTCTGCGATCAGGGGAAGGAGACGGGTGGCCACTGCGATCTCAATCAATGCGTGACACCCTCCCTGAGACCCTCGCAGGGGGCTGAGGCTCCGGCCCCTCGTTGCTATTCAGACCTACACTTCTCATCTCAGATGTGGCAGGCTGCTGTTCCCTAGGAAGGGGAGTGCTCCTCCGTAGATGGACCATTTGATCTCATTTTATTTTGTCTCTATTCATCTCCTATAAATCTTTTCCTCACCCCACTGACCCTCCAAAATTTCAACGGATAAAAATGCACAAGAAAGCGTACACCAAAGCAGCCAGATGAGAAGAACGGTGCTATAAAGATAAAAGTAGTGTCATTACTAAGGAATTCTCTCAGCCGCTTTAATTCATCCCGCTACCCTTCTCCGGGTGGTGATCAGGTTAATGTGGACATTTGCGTAAATTCTACATCCTTCTGCTTCTCCTCACCGTCCCAACCTCAACTACAAAGATTCACAAACACACTGTTGAAATGAATTTCAATACGCATCAGCCCAGACTCATTTGGCCCGAACAATGACCTCCCCACTCAGGGAGGGGGGAAGACGGTCATGCCTTCATTCATCCTCTGAGCAGGTATGACATGCAGTGTCTTCCTCGGGCATTACCATGGTTTCGTTTTTTTCTTCAATGGTGATGTGTGTGGAACTTGGAATCCCTTCTCCCAGTAAAAATCCCAGCCTTGTCAACAGTTCTTGGGCTGCTGGCGAACAGCTCGGTTCATTATCAGGCTTTGCTTCTGGAACAAAGAAAGAAAACAATGAAAGACACCCCTCTCTGGAATTTCAGTATCGCATCTGGAGGAGCTGGCATTACAGCTGCCTGTCTGGTGCTTTTGTGTATTTTTATAAAAAGCACAAAGTTTGACAATGCTGCCTGTCCGCCAGCAATACATTCTAATTAAGAGACTGTGACAGGTTAAGCAAACAGTAAAAGAGAAACTCCAAGTGCAAAGGGTGAAATTGTTGACCTGAATCAGAAGACACGGTGTCATTTTCTGATGGCAATTCCTATTTCCATGTCATGAAAAATGGGTACTTCAGACACCAAAGGCAGAAAAAGGCCTACTCCTCTTACTCTTGAAGAGCACAGTGTGTCCAATGCCAACAGGAGGCTGAAATAAAGTAAAATCCAAGTGGCATGCTGCCAGAGCTATTACATGCATGGGCGGAGGGGGACTGAAATGCAAGCTCTCACTTAACAAGAAAGAGGCATGACCACTTCAGTGGAAACTTCCTGTGCACACCCGCTAGGAGTGAAAGTCAAAACCAGGATTCCAACCCAAGGGTCAATCATCAGGGATCCATGTTGAAACAAAGATCTTAAGTCCCAGTGAACTGTGTCCCGAGAGACAGGACCCAGTAGTACACCCTGCTGTCCATGGGGAGATGCAGAAAAATGGGTTGTGTTCTCAGCACACTCCACAGTAAGGCTGGAAGCACGGTCCACCTGAAGGTCACAGGGCATGTTTGGATGCCCTAAGGCTGGTCATCTTGCTTTGTGCACTCAAGAGAATTTTATTGTTGGACTTGACTTAAATGTTGAGCTGTAGATTAACCTTGTATCCAAAGCCTAAGAGAACTTAATTTTGGTGGACAAAATGATATTCACATCATTCTAACAGCTCTCTTACAGTTTTAAGTCAGCATCCATCAGGGAATGAAATAACGTATAAAGTTAACTGTGCCTACAAAAGTTAGAACTTAAGAACAACATACAACCCGTAATAGTCATTCATCTTAATGTTTTGTTGTTTTTTGTTAATTGTCTAGGTACCTAGATCCATACATTCATGAACAATTTTCCCTGGATGTGGAAATCTACAGATAATAGGTAACAGGTCACAGAAAAATAAAATGAGGAAAGAACAAATTCGAGATATTACTTTTGAGCTACAACATCAACACCAAAGTTCAATGCTAACTTTGCCTTTTGTAAGGAACTACAAAAATCAACATAAGCAGAGCTGAGAGGACCATCTGTATTATACTCACCCACATTATCAGTTTTGCTAAGTCATGCTCCCAGGATGGCAGCTATAAGAGGAACTAGGCTGACTGTATCCTCAAGGAAGGAAAAGTACCCCACCCCTTGGCTTGCCCTGAAAAGCTCCCAATGTTTATGGTGAGAAGGAGAGCTGTTTCCCAGCTTGGATATAATTTTCAGTTACTCTAGAATACTGCAGAGATAAAATAACCAAGGCTTGATCGCTGTGGGTTAAAAGAGCCCTGATGTTTCTGGATCATTTGAGATAAACCCATAACATGAAGGAGCAGTGGCCCCAAACCAATGACAGGGGTAAGGGAGCCACCCCAGGGCAGGTCAACCACACCCTCAAAGCCACTCTACACAAGGTCCCTTCCCACCAGAGATCACCAACCACATTTTGACTCTTAAGGTACACGGGCACTGGGGAAAGGAAACCAGGAACCAAACCAAATCGGTGTGACCCAGGCACACCCAAGGGCTGGACCACTTCAGAACTGGATCAGTGCCGCCCTCCCTTGCCCCAAGGCTCAGGCAGGGCAGCTACTTTATCTTAGGTGTGGCAGCTGGACCGAGGGAGAGAACAGGATGCAGCTGGAAAGGGGAAGAAGTGGGTGAGGGGCCAGTACTCAGCACTTTCTCTACTCCACACCCCCCTTTCTTTTCAAAACAATCTACACTGCTTCCCAATTGGGACCTGCCCCAGAATGTCTAGCTTCTGGTTCAACCTGAAACACTCTGGGGAAAGAGCCAAAAACTACTCCCAGTTGGCAGCTGCTGGCACAAAATTTACCCTGACTACAAACAGGGCCACAGCCAATGGCTCACTCTGAGACCCGCATCCTGTGTAGGTCCTGGGTGGGAGGGGGGCTGGAGGCAGCAGATTCACCCCAGATTGTCAAGGTTTTCATTAAGAAAATAATAATTTTATATACGCATATCATTGTACACACACACACACACACACACACACACACACACGTGTGTGTGTGTGTGTGTGTGTGTGTATAAATTCAAAGACAACTAGTCATCTAAACTTCCCCCCTTCAGACAAGTTGGGGAGCAGTGGCCATTCCAGTCTCCTGAAGAGACAAGAGATGCCCAAATTCATCATTAACTTGTTCTCTTAACTGTTCAATCTGGTCTTTGTCGCTACCAACATTTCAAAAATCTACCCAGGTTTGGGAGGAATGAACAGATGTTCTTTATTGCAGTTTTGGCATCCATTAAGCCACTACAATTTTCTTTCTTCCAGAAGCTTCCCAACTGTCTTTTCATATTATTCTTTCTACTAAAATGTCATCCTAGTGACCTTCCCCTCAGAAGTCGCCTTTGGTCTGAATTCCTTAATCCACGTCAAGCTGTCCGCGTCTTTCCTTCCCTAACGCACAGAGTGTCTCTCGCTGAACTTTGCATTCTGGCAGAAGGACCCCTGGGTGAAGTGTGACAGTGCCATTTTGGGGGAGATGAGTTGCCTGGGAACACACACTGATACACTCGACTGTGAAATGGAAATGTATTTGTCCTTCCATAGTCAATTACCAAATACTGAGATTTGAACAGTCAGACAGGATTGTCTTTGAGCTAATGATTCCAGAACGACTCCCAAACCAAAATTCAATGGGATACTCTAGATAGTCTATTTTCATTTGTGTAGTTAACATTAAATCACTCATCAATAATGGGTGTACCTTACCCCATAGCAGTGGGATAAGGGATGGAGAGAAAGACCTCATCTCTTAGCAATGCTTTAACATCTCACAGATTTAAATATCCAAAGAACTTATGATGACTGTAGCTGGAGGTGAGAGTACCTGGCCTCACACTCCCTAGGAATCCATTAGGTAAGTGGAGAGCGGTATTCCTCCCAATAACGTTCTCATGAAATCCTCGCTATTACACCACTGTGGAATAATCACATGGAGAAAGGCAAAGGGAATTTCTTTGATCACTCCCTGCCTGGCTCTTTTTACCTATTCACACCTGTTAGATCACCTCTGGGGTGCCAACATCCAGGTACGGTCCACAAGGTGACTGGCTCCATCCTAACTTCAAACCTATTTGTCCCCTTAATAACCATCCCCTCACTCTCCCCCCCCTACAGGCTCAGAGGAAAAGACTTCCCCACACTAAAGCTATTCTGGATCCCTTACAGCGTGAGCCTCTCTAAACTTCAATTTCCTCATCAGGGAAGTGGCCATCACCTACTTCTTAAAGATTGTGAAGCTCAAAACAAATGTGAGAAACATCTTATAAGCCGAATATCTTTGAGATAAAACACTGTATTGAAATTGGTCATTATTTCCACCAATTTTAACACCAAGAGCCCACTTTCTCACTATTACTTCATTTTCTGTTTTCATAGCTTCCTTTCTATATTTAATGTGCATATATTTCTCGTACCGAAAAAAAAAATAGTTTTCTATTTAGAATTTTTCTGCCTTAATTTAACTTTTTCTGAACTCACTATTCCTTCAAGACAACAAATCCCCTCCTGCTATCAAACTGTTCCAACTTGGCCCACACTTAACTGCTTTCATTTCCCATATAATCATTCTGCCTTCTTTAAAGCCAGACGCTATTAGAACCTTGGAAGTGCCTGGGGATTACCAGTGATAATGCCGTCAAGAGAAGCTTTTTCTCCACTCTCATCCTCCTCAAACTCAACAGAGCGCTGGGCACTGTTGATGACGCTTGGCTATTCACTAGCATGTAACCGTGAACCACTGACTTAACATCAGCTTCCAAGACAGTACTTCTGAATCAAGTCTGTTAACTGAGACACAGCCTTGATTGATGTTAAATCCCTTCCTCTGCCTCTACCTGTCTGGGACCTGCTTCTTGCTAAACCTCTTGCCTTCCTTGCCTTCTACTCCACAAACATTTTCCTGTTTTTTTCTGCTTACTCCTTCTCCTAAGGCATCGCCATTCCCTCCTCCTTCAATTTCCAAAAATACTATTTACGGAGGAGCATCTATCCACGACCCTGACCTGGTTCTGTCAATAACTGGTTTCTAGTCTGGAATACAAAAACGTAGTTATCATATAAGTTTATCTTTAGGCTTTTCATCTCATGCATCCCATACTGAAATTGTTACCAAATCTTACCATTTCCTGTTTCAAAATGTTTCCTGAATTTGCCTTTTTCTCTTCAGTCACACTGCCACTTTAAGTCCTCATCCTCTCCTGTCTAGATAACTATTAGTCTGTGAATCAATTTTCTCACCTATTTTAATTTTCTCCCTCTCTTTTCCTTCCTCTGAGCCAGTGGTTCTCAAATTTTTTAGTATCAGAGCTCACGGTTAAAAATTAAGAACTCCAAAGAGCTTGGGCTTATATGGGTTATGTCTATTGCTATTTAGCATGTTTGAAATTAAAACTAAGAAAATCTATGTTAATCCATTTTAGGTTAATAAAAATTACACTAACAAATAACATTTTAATAACCGTATTTTAATTTAAAAAGTTAAGAATGGTGTTGTTTTACATTTTTGCAAATTCTTTTTAATGTCTGATTTAATAGAAGACAGTTGGATTCTAATGCCTACTTCTGCATTCAATCTGTTGGGGTAGGTTCTATGGGTTGAAGCATGTGAAGAATTGTGGCTTTAGAGAGCAATGTATTAAATAGTTGGGAAAGGGAGGAACCTTTCCAGTTAATTACATATATTCTTCTTTGACACCTCCCCGATCTGACAAGTAGCAATTTCTTAAAGGTTAGTTCCAATGTTGATCTGAATCTGAATCAGTGAA